AAATGAAACGAGTGGAAGATGCATTGGAAGATAAGATAGAGATGTTAGTGTTGGCTTATTACAAATTAGATCTTTAAAAATCTCTATATGGGATTTAACAAATTTTGAAAAAATAAATTAATCATCTATACTAAAAAAATTTGAGACTTAGAAATTCACTTTTCATATGTTAGAAATACGATTTCCTGGTGAATTTCCATCAGTAGTTTAGATATATAATAATCATAAATTTTAGTGTAAGAGTATTTAGGAAGAAAAACGTACTAATGAAATATAGATGTCATAGTCAGATATTTCAGATAATGAGATTTCTATTTACAATGTTTCGTTTGGTGCTTTTTCTTGACTTTCAATGCGTCTTCAGCATATTTTATCTTCTTCATTGGTCACTATATCATGACAATTTACTGTGTTACATATCCATATCAACTTTTATTGTGAAAATCGTTCTGTTCTTCGTTTCTGTAGTCATACCTTCGTATGATGAAATGGCTGGCAATTGCTGAAAATATAGAGTCGTTCATTCTTTTTCTGTTGTGTATACGACTAATTCATTTAACATTGCTCGCTTTTACTTGTAACATTATGTATGAAATACACGTTGAAATAAATAAATGAAACTATTTATAGATTCTACCTGTTTATTTGAAAGATGTTTACTCTGTCAGGCAATTCATAGAAGCCATATGTAATGTAAAGACGTTAGCGAATACAGCTTTACTATTACAATGAGAAATCTATATCTCAATTGATTCTATCAGGGAATACTCCTTGGAATTCGATAAAAATTAAATTAAATTGAAAAAAAATAAACGCAAAAATCAAGGATTCTGCTATTTTTCTCTATCATTTACAGTAGAAGTAATGCAAATATTCCTTAAAAATTCTTTTTTTTCACTTTTAAAATATATTGATGTAAATTCCAAACAGATTAAAATGGTTCGATGATATTGCGGCGTACACTTAGAACACTTTTCAGTTCTCTTAAATCTTCTGAAAATTTGCATAAAATCAACTCCTCATCAATAAATTTCATTTACACAGACATATTTCTTCCCGAGAATCTAAAACAATGAGAAAAGTAAGTGAAAATTTCATTTTGCAAACTGTTTATTTTGAATATGCAGTTTCACCACTGATATAAAAGTAGTATATAAGTGAGTCGGTCCATAGAGATAGCACAGAATAGTGAATAAAGAGAACATCTCGGATATTTGCTTTACTCATTTTTCAAAACTGTCAAAACATAAGTTTTGAAAATTATTTTCAATAAAAGTCATTCAACATATTTATTTAAAAAGAATAAATTCCTTGATTAAAGAGACTGAAAAATTAACACTTTTAATATGATATTAAATTGTAATTCTAAAACTTTTTGTTACGTATTTATATTTATAAGAAATCTTCACATTAGTTCACTTGTTTCGTGTTTATTTAATCTGTATTTTTGTAGCATTTACTTTGCACTATCATGGCATCGAATTTTACATTAATAAACAATGACGAAATCTACATAATAACATTACATCGTACTTTTAAAATTAATGTTATTCATTTAGTGAATGACCTAAACAATCGAATTGACAAGTGCATTAGCACTCGAGTTAAGGATATTTGCATCATAGTCAATTCAGTATTTAACACCAATTATACAGAAACAACGATCAATGAGATAATCATTCGGTTAGACAATGGAGAAATGAATAATTTATTTCATACCTACGATGTAGAACATTTAGTGGCCAATTATATTTCAAGTCCAGTGATTGTTACCGAAGCAGCATTACTTTGTTTAAAACCATTTACGAACATATGTATTAACTGTAAGAAGTGCTTAAAAATTTAATTTAATCGATCCATTGACGTTTATGGTATTGATGAAATTATCAAAGCAGGTGTTTATACTTCCTTTTGCAAAGAATGCCATTATGCAGTACGTAAAAATTTTTATGAATACTGATGACTTGTATCTTGTAGAATGAAGTTCAAAGCAATGGAAACTTTCCTATGCCAGTTACATGACTCGATATGTTGAACAAAATTATTTCATTAGTTGCTAGACAAATGTTTGAGCTATATTTTCAAATCCTCTATTAGTGTGATCTTGATAATATTTAGTCGTTGATATAAAAATCGCTCGAAATAGTTTTGTCTTTTATGTAATGAAAGTCGTATTCAAGAGAAATATGTATTTCGCTATATGTCATCTATTGAATGAGAATGATTCTTTACACTTTTTCTGCTTAAAATTATCGAAGCAATTAAAATTGCTCTTAGACTTCCAACAATTTGTTGTCAAAGCATATATTATGAGTCATGATGCTGTTATGGTAATTAGTATTTTGACTCATTGAAAGTAAATTGAATTATAGCACTCTTATCTGGCTCTTATGTTTTGAAGTTTTTTTCAGATCATTATTCAAAAAGGAGTCTTCATATACGTTTTGAAATTTTCAACTAATATGAATATTCACCGAAGTATTGAGAACAATTAAATAGCAGAAAATTGTACGAATATTTTCATTTTGAGACGATATCTACAGATGTAATTTCATACTGAACATTGTATTTTTAAGTCAGTGTTCTATATGCATGAAATGTCCTGTTACATGTGATCTTTTAGTATTTGAAAGAATTATGAATGGTTTGAGTTTTTTTCGAATTTTTTTAATATGAGAGCATATCATTGTATGCAAAAATTTTCTTTATCTCTTGATAAAGGCATCGAAAAATATTCGATCGAGGAAGAATACATCAAAAATTATTTTAAAAAATACGTTGAAATGAACATTTGCATTAAAATTACCACAGTATTTTAATATTTCGGAGGAAGATTTTCAGATTTTGATGTACTATTTGCCTTTTAAACTTTAATAAAGAGAAAAAGCTGTTTTAAGAATTTGTATGGTCAAAATTTAAGTTTGCTTTTTCTGACAGATGTTGTTCAGGATCACTTACAAGATGCACATATATCATTATATTTGAAATTTTTTTACACTTTCTTTTAAGTATTGGCCTAGTTATTATGAAAAAACGTATTCAAGTCAACGATTCGTAACACCAGAATCGATTTATGATCAAGAATACATTTATTTTGGTGGTAAAAAAGGATATTCTGTGAAACTGCTGACTCATTTCACATCACTTTTTCTTCGGCTTTATACTGGTTTTGAAAATTTTCAATATGCCTTTAACTTATCGATTAAAAAATATTGTGTATTGGCTTCAGATAAAGAATCAGTAAGTATTTCTGTGATACTACAATTTTTTCCAGAACTTCAAAATTTGTTTGTTGATTTTTGGAAACGCGCTAACAATTTAGTTAGTATATTTCTAGATTCAGTGCCACTGAACTCTCTTAAGATTTGAAAATTAACTCCTTCTTAGGAGATCATTTTGAAATTCATACAAAAAATGCAGTTCGTTAAGCTTATATTTTGTCTACATATGGACGCATTCCCTATATGAATAGTGTTGGTACATTTCACTTATCAGTAACATCACATTATATTATACTAGCACTATCTGATAGATTGTCGTTTTATCAGTATATGAATCGCTCAGATATGTGTTAAATTTATTAAATTTAGATGATTTGCATAAGATTAAATAAAATAGCAAGGATTATTATTATTATTCAATTTGATAAAGTATATCGTCGAAGCATTCTACTAATGTTCTGTCTATAAACTTATATGCTTAGCGTAGTAATGACGGAATCAAGAATTCTGCATTCAAAAATGATCAGTTTTTGTAAATATTAGAATGAGATAAAGCTTTTTATATTTCAACGAATAAGAATCTGGAAATGTCACATCTCGTACTTTGACAACAGACATATTTTGACCTAGATGCTTTGATTATACATACTAGTATGTAATTCTAGTTAATTTATTTCTGAAGATACAGTTACGTGACAATTCTTTGCATTTGTAACAGCTATTATTAGTTAGACAGTCTAAATGTTTCTAAGCAAATACGTTGGCTTTTTATCGTCTTTCGGCATCTTTGATATTTTTTAATTCATAAACATTATGAATGAAATAAACATACTGTGCATGAAATTTTGTTTCCAGTAATTGATGATCTCCACAACCTTTATGTTATTTCCACGTTATTTCTTGGTTTCATTTAGAAGAATAAAAAGACTTTTGTAGTTTGAGAAAGCTAAGTCTTTACATTGCAATAGAGATGGATATTTTCAAAAATTAATATTGTGCTTTTCGGACATGAAATTCTCGAAGAGGCAATAATGTATTGAGTATGAATGGTAGAAATAAAGGTAGTAAATCATTTGATCAAAAATTTTATGGTCGTTTGAGAACTATTCAAGAATTTTAGATGAGGGATTAGCATTGTAATTATTGATAATCTACTTTTTTATCGAATATGATTAGAAAAATAAATCATGATGTAATCACATTTAAAAAAAACGTTCGAAAATTCATAGTCTATATTCGAATCCGGGGATTTGTGATGTTTTTAATAATTAATGCTATGTTATATTATCGGACATTTAACATGCTTTTATAAAATGGGGTTTACAATCGATACACATATCTGCCGAAGTCTTTCGAAAATCGACAAGTGATTATGATACTATTTTCAAATATTCTTGGCGAATGGTAAATTGCACAGAATAAAGATGAATTTCTGTTGTGCAGACTTGACTTTTTCAGAATGGAGAAAAAATAGTACTGTCGTCATTTGATTGTGAAGAAATAATCCTTTTTTTTAATTGAGTTGAATAGTATCCATGAGTTGTTCGCTGCATTTTGCATTGTACTAATACTGCGACAATAGAATAGAATGCTTTTGGAGATCATATTATATTTTTGTGTAAACAAACCATTGACGATTACTGCGATTCTAGATACCAATGGGATAGATTATGATTGATTTTGTGGATGTTTTAGGTAAACGAAATATTTACTGAAATTAATCGGGAATGCTTTTCCAGTATTTGGTATATATATCAATTATGCTTATTCACATTTTTTATGTCTGATACACATCGCTTCGAAATACCCACCTCACTCAGCGATGCTTCAATTTACCAGTTTTTTGACAAAAATTTTGACACTTGGTACAAATGTTTTGTTAAACACTGGTCGACTCATCATTTAACGCATCCATGTCGTGCAAAAGATGCAGAAATTAATGGTTGCATGCTGGCATTTGTCATTGATGGAATGCAAAAGGTTGCACGACCGATATGCAAAAATAAAAATAAATGTATAACAACTGAAGAATTTCCAGATTTTCTCTATATTGGTTGTGGCAATACACCTAAATCAAAAACAGGCTTATGTGAGACATGCCAACAACAGAGAATTCTCTCTGATAATGAAACATGCTTGACTACAAATGATGACAATGGCATTTATGATGATCCAACAACAGGATGCAATGTCTCTAGAGAAGACCGGTAAGGTAGTTAATTTTATCTTGTTCAAAGAACTCTTCATTCAGGTTTAAGTTTCTGAATGTGATTAATATTAATGATACGTAAAGAAAGCAGATGAGTTTTGCATAAATATGTTGCAGAAAGACATAGTCATTAGATTTCTCTTGGATGACATGCAAATTTTGTATTGTTCTTTGTCGTTTTTTGTTAAGACAACAGATGATTGAGACATTTAGCTTCTAAATGTTTAGAATAACTGGCACATTAAAATCTTTTATCACAGATTAATAAATTACTTATTTGAAACATGTGTGATAAAAAACAAAAGCAAAAACGGACAGTAATGCGATTCACTTTTGGGAAAAGGTCAACTGATTTACAATTTACCTATTTTGGAGGAATGAGTTTATTGAACGATCGCCTTTCAACGATCCATTTTCTTTCTTTAATTTTAGGAAGGTTAAGTAAATACATTTTTCTCTGCTCCTATAAAATTCTGACTTTTCAACGATACCAGTATATGCGCATGAGTTTTTCATTAAATCTGTTTAGTTAGTTATCAAGAACAGTCACTAGTACTAAGTTTTTAGTTTATCTTTTCCAGTATTTCAATAGGATTTTCAGATTGCGTTAGCCGAATCGACCAATGCCGCATAAGATGACCCAACCTCCAGCAGATAAACTGTGATCTGAAACAATATTTCACCCTAAAAATAAAAAACAAAGAACTTTTTAAAAATTTCAAATGAGCTATCAAGACTCGTAGTAGTTAATGGTCTCGATTAAAAGGAATATTAAAGTAGTGTTTGATACGTCATCTTGCGTTTAAATTCGCCCTAATAGCCTTATATGAATTAAGATGCTTCTCAGCTAAGTTAAATAAAGTTTCCAAAAAAATATGCTAAATATCTGAATTCTTACCCATCAATGGAACTTTTTCGTAGTCAGCTCTGTATTGATATACATATAAATAGTCGCAACCGTATCGAGAATAAAGTAAAATTAATACGAATCTCCAAATCAATATGAACATCCAACATACTGGTTCAGGTTTCCGAATCATATTTACGCACATTAATGCAAATCACATGAACAGAGGCTCTAAAAAGTAAACTTTTAGAGTAGTGAACTTTATAATTGGATGTATCTTTTTTTTTGTTTATTTAACTAAAATTTCGATTTAGTAGTTCCTCTAGACAGAAAAGCTCCAGCTACTCTCTAGTAATGAATCTTCTCTCAGTCTATGCGTGGCGTATTTGTTTGATCATTAATACTAAATCTTCTAATACATTTTACTATTTCAGTTTTGTCGACGTCGACAAAAAAATATCACAAGGTATTATTTATACAATATCGCCATGTGGTGTTATTATTGGCTTTGATGAGCTATACCGTTCTGAATCTTGTTTCATGACTCTGTGGCATCTATTCAAAATAATCAGACTGATTGATGTTTACAATTATAAATACTTGCCAAGCATCATTATTTATGATAATGCGTGCAGTTTATTCATCTACTTTTGGAATCGATATAAAAACAACGAAATCAATCGACGAATTGTAAAGACTCCATCATCGGAATTTGTCTCTAAATGTTCTTTCTTTATTGACCAATTTCACCAACCCAACCATAGGCGTCCTATGTGTCAAAAAGACAGAAACATAGATTTTAAAACTAACAGTGAAACCACAAAAAAGATTAATACTGAAGCTGCTGAACAGCGAAATAGTGTATTAAAACAATATCAAAATGCTTTATCATCATACTCGGGACAAAAAGTTCGAGTGGCATATTTGATTTTATTCCATTTAATGAATTGTGAACGCAATACATGTGACAATCAGTTTGAATATAATCGAAGATATGCTACAAAAGTACCATCAAGTAAGTCACTTATTATCTTCTTAAAAGAATATCCGACAGTTCGTAATAAAATATAACACTTAGCTATGGCATAGATACTACAGTTATTTTCATCGTAACGAATTCGGATGATATGAAATCTTTTTACCTATACTATAGCGTTTATAAATGACATTTCTCGAAAATGATCTCTTCTAAGCAATGGATCTTTTGTAATAATCGGTGAACCACAACTTAATTGGCTGGATCATATAAGAGATGATTCTTACAGATAAATTTCAATATTTCAAAACAATAAAAACGTCGATTTTTACATGGCATGAAATGAATTGCATGTCATTATACACGTTTAACGAATAAAATGAGGTCATTTTCTTTTCCAAATCGTAAAATTTGTTGAGAAAGCAGCTTTATAAAAAAAAGACTAAGGGCTTTTTATATATCTATACATTAACTGAATTCTTTTTCGGATTTCCATGCTAATTGCGATATCATCAATCAGGTTATTCATTTTTAAAAACATAATCTATGCGCTCTTCGACTATTTTTGATCTTACATCTTTAGATGTTTCTTCAACAAACGATTTTTCTGACAAATTCAGCAAGGTAGAATATACAACATCACCAGTATTGATATCACCATCAGCGATAGCAACGAGTTTTTCTAAGATCGATGCTATGAATGCATGTAAGTAAATTTTTCTGATTCACTGTCAACATCAACATGATTTATATTCTTTTTTTAGAAATTTTCTCCTTTGTTTGTGTTAAATACAACGTCGTTCATTAAATCTAATATTTCGACACAATTAGTTCCTTAATAATGTTCGCCACTTCTTTGTTTTCTTGTTAAAACAGACTTTTATTGTTCGTTTTTTTTTCCAGCTTTATTGAACTTCTTACAGTTCAACGAGTTTTCAATCGAGTGTTGCGATACATTTTGTACATTATATCATAATATGCTCTTGAGAAAAGCTGATCCACGCGAAAAAACTTCGATTTCAAAATAAAATATGAAAATTGCCAAAAACCATCTGAACTACAATCACCTGTTTTTACTGATGCAATATTCATCAATCGTTAATCAACTTTGATGGAACTTTGTTTTTTGAAATATTCCATGGTAGCATATAACCTAATTCTCGATATTGGCAGCTAAGAATACTTTAGAAAGGCATTAGGTCCGATTCACTAACGAACATCCTTTAGTACATTGCTAACATGACAACATTCGCACCAAAGGAGATAACGCCTGTTTTGGAAGAAGATATCAAATAACAATAAGTATAAAATTTAACGGAAAACAAAAAAAATTTATACTGCACCTCTACTGATACTTCTAAGCACATTTCAAACAAACAGTTTATCTACTCCGTTTACAATATGCATCAAGTGAAACATAATTAGACGTTCATTTTATCGCACATATCCATAATCGAATGATACAGTGCAGTGCTTTTAAACAGTTGTCAAACAATTCAACAGAACTCAAGCATTGAGTTCATAACATCTTCTTCATCAAACTCTTCATTCGCACTATTTCATCATAAGGAGTTGAAACTGATGAAACATGCTATGACCTTCGTACATCATATTGCTTACTGCTCCTGATTTCCAATCCCATACATATCTATATGAATCACGGTCAATGTAGCAAAAAAACTACAAATTTAAGTGACGTCGAGAGTGGCTACAGTTTAGGATTCTTAAAACTAGACTAACTACATGAACATCGTGTCCACCGAATTAACATTCTAGGACCAAACCATTTGATCGAACTGCATCCGAATTACTTAAGCAGGGGAAATCACGAAAACTCACAAAAACAAAACACACTTCTAGGTGTGAAAGCATTTCGAAAATTAATGACATCTATTGCATTTCACACTTAGAGCCCAGGTACTAAATCGTCCACATTTACAAGAAAAAACTCACGACTACGGACACGTACAATAAGCGTCAGTAAGAACCAATAAGAAACTAAACATCCTGATACCTGGTTACTTCTTGCAAACAACTAACTCGACAAGGCACAGCCCGATCACCAATCAATGTCCACAACGATGGACCTTAAACAAGACACACCCATGAACGATTTCACGCATTACAGGTTTTTGTGAAACACGTCCTGAAAGGAGTGTTGAAGTGTTTAGGGTAGAAATTTGGACCCATCCCCTCCTCCCTCCCCCACAGACCGTTACAGACAGGTGATTTAACCGTCACAGACCGTTACAGACAGGTGATTCCCACGTCACAGACCGTTACAGACAGGTGATTGTCCCATCACAGACCATTACAGACATGGTTTTGCTGCCTTAAGAAACTATATGAAGTACACCTGCATCCTACGAAGCAGTAATACGGATACGGCTCGGACCTGTCTAAACGTAGAACAGAAACGATGAGCAACCATTACTGTCTATGTCACACTAAGTATAGAGGTGTCATACAGAATAAATCAAACGTAGATATCCAAGAGATCAGTATAGGCATTTGTACTTAGTGAAGAATAAAAAAAACCATGGAACCCTCCACGGTAAAACCAATTAATACGAATACTTTCTAAAAGCTTCTCGTCTGTATTTAATCAAGCTTTGAAAATACTTATGTAAGTTAAACCAGGGCGCACATAAAAAATTCCGTTTTATTGATAAAGTTTTTTCGTGAACAACGTAAGCATGAAACAATCAGAAAAACTCACAAAATTATATTAAAATAACTATTCAAAAAAGATATATGTTGTCTTATTAATAACATGACAATTTGGAATGGGATGAAGCGAATTAGATGTTACATTTGTTTCATTTTTCATCTGTTTATTTGAGTCATCTATTCGTTGTTTCTCACGTTTGAAGCATTTATAATTTCGATCCTTTGCTAGTAGTAATTCTTTTTGCTGATCTGATTGATTATGCCGAAAACGCCGTACTCGTTCTAATGTCTTATTACGATTTTTAATTAACGATTCATTTTTTTGTAATGCTTGATTTTCTGATAAAACATTAAAACTTGTACGTAACCGATAATCAATTTTCTGTTTTCGCACACGATTTCTATATGCTTCGGGATCACTTTCCTGTTGTCTTTGCCGACATTTACGCATTCTTCGAGCATGTCCAATAAGAAATGTATCTTGTTTCGTAGATTTCATTTTGAAAAAAAATCAATGAAAACAAAATTTATTCAAATTGAAAAAAATAGTTTGAGTATATAAACGCGCTTTACTCGGATAATTCAAATTTTGAGTATATTACCCATGGAAAAATATTCCTCATAATGAACGTGAAAGAACGCGTTTTCGAAAAAATTGAACGTATTTTATCGACTAAAAACGCGTTCTAAGAACAAATTAACGCGTTCAGACGCGTTTNGATATTTTCTAAGTCCTCTATCTTCTCAATATAGCTTCGATCTTTTTTCTCTCATCATGTATTACTTCAACTGTTATTAATCAATTTCCTAACTCGTTCACAATACATAGATCGCTATCAGTTTATAAATAAAAAATACCTCTTCATATTTCTATATCAGATGTTGTGGGTGTTAAATGAAAGTTCACATGCACACAACCACCGATCGGTGAGCGTTTCTCCTGTGATGAATGAAGAAGCAATGTTCCCAAAAAATATTGCATCGTGTCTATTGTCACCACAAACCCTCACTGATTATCATACCCAGGTATCGATCGAGCCTATATTTTTGCTCAATGATCCCCATCGAAATCGTTACCATTGAATAGAGGATGAAGTTTTCTGTCTCACGTAATCTATGGAACACCCACCACACAGATCAGAGGATGAGTCGGGACTGAAAATATTCGAGTATCGTGCTAGCTTTACTATCATCTGCCATTCGTAGGCTCTTTTCTCAAATCAGATTGAATTGTCAAACTAACCTGAAATTGATATTTTGCTTATAAACGATGTAGGTTCTTTCAAAATGGAAACATTCAGTGGTTGCTCAAGCGTTTTCTTCAATTCTTCTAACAACACTCTGAAGTTATTTAAATGAATTTCATTGAAATCTTCATCATCTCGCATTTTTCTTAAGTCAGCAATGAATTGATTTAATTTCTTCTTTATTTCAGCAATATTATCGTCTGTCGATTTAATTAATCTTTGTCGGCAGCCTTCTGCTGTTTTCTTAATCTTCATGATTGAATCGTGTTCCCACTCATTCACTTGTTGTATTAATGGACGATAATTGAGATCTTGCTGTTGCTCACTAATACTTTGTTGGAATGTATCACAATCAGTAACAATTTTTTCCAGATCTAATACATGTTCTTGTTGATGTTTTAGTAAATCTTTCGGACAAAATTTTTCTGAGCAGCCTTCACATGTGTATAAGGCTGCTTTGTCTTTTCCACATATAAAACATTGTTTGGAAGTTGTCGCTGAAGTTGCCATGTCTTAATATGCTAACGCTAAGGTGTATGTTTGAGACTGTCAACGAGGAGTTTGAAAAAAAGTGAATTTTTCTTATGATTTCATACACATATACAAAAAAAGCAACATGAGTCAAGGTCAATAAACATCAGTGGGAAACAAAAGAATGAAAAAAAAATTCTGCATAGAGGTCTCATTTTATCTTTTTTTGCTTTATAATAAAGAATAAATCGAAATAAAATCTTAGTTTTATAACATTAAAATGACTATATCTTTTCGGTAGCTTGCAAAAATATATGATACCACTGTGGGTAGAAATTTTTTTAATTAATCTTTTTGTGTATCAGCTTCATTTTTCAATAATATCACATGTGTATGGGTTTGATTGAGTTAAAAATACAGTCACACCCACACCCACACACCCACACCCTCAAAATTTTCATGACATACCAGTGGGGATTAATTATATCTCGAGTGAGTATTAGGTCTCTTTGAAATCATTTAACTTGATCGAATCTATTTCAGGTAGTGAACGTTTTGCACCAGCCAATAAATGAAATTCTGGCGTTGGGCAAGAGAGGCAGATAATCGATAAAAGAAAGAAAGTATTCAGATAGTTACCCAGCAACAGCAGTAGCAATATTCAATCATATATAACACGCTAAAACGGCTATACGTACATGAATATTTTAAAAAAAATATATTACTCATAACTTCTCTGCCTTATATAAACACTAACGTTATGCTTTTGACAGCATATAATCACTACACAGAAGAATGCCGATCAGAAAAATTACAACAACCAATACCTAATATTCATTGTTAAACTATCTACTAACCGCATTATTTATATTGTGTAAAACGTATAATATCGGATACATTCTTCAAAAAGAAAACGACGAGCAACAGATTCATTGAATAGTAATAGCGATTTTAGTCCGTGATCCTCAAAGATAATAATAAAAAAATAGCTGGATATGAAATAATAAAACAGAAATGTTTAGAATAATGGTCTATTGTAGACTTGCAACTGGTAGAGCTTCTCAGACCGGTACCTCCGTCGGCCTAAATCAGACAGACTGCACCGGACTGGCCAGTACACTAGTATGAGTCATTGTGCATTTTTTCGGCTTCGCCAGCGCATATCGAACTAGAAGACTTCAAAAGACGTCAATAAGTTTCAGAACTTCATAAAACCTTACAATGAAAGTCTTAGTTTGCTTCATCTTTAGTTGAGGTACGCTAGAAGTCACTTTTTTCGAACATTGTCGCAAAGGGTAGGAGTCTATGTTCTTATTTTTCACACCCAAACTCTTATCAACTCTCGAGCCTTTCAAACAATATATTTATATATTTGTAAACTATAATAAGAGCTTTTATTTAGTCTTAGTATGAATGATCTAGCACATAAGTGAATAGAGAGCAGACGACTAGATTGAAAATTCTCTGTTGATTACTTTGGGCATTATAAAACTAAAAAGTGCATGACGCAATATGTCCGCGAAATTTTCAATTTTATTCCTAACAATCATCTGTTAGAAGACTCAATAATCTTCTTTTTTTTTCATATGAATATTATAGCTTCTGGCAACTTATCTTTCGGAAGAGACTTCATTTTTTCAATTTTAGGTGTCAGAAGTAAAAAGACATTGATAATGGTCCACATATTCAAAGCATTTCTTTTCTTTTTTTACAGTTGCACATCTGGCTTGACCTAGCTCTTTGTTTTCTAATATTTCTGCTCGTTTAAAAAGAATATGTTAATAAAATTCTTTCATCTATATTGCTACCAAGGGGTAAGGTCTCTATAAAACATTTAATGATTGTATTAGATTAGAGCCGAATCAATACAGAAATTTTGAATTATCCATCATACTTTACTATCTTGGAAATAAATACGTGAATGACTAGAACGACTTGGCAACGAAAAATATATATGTAGAATTACTCTAGATGCTAAGGAACAATATAAATAGTAAGAAAGCATAGAAGATTTGCTAATAGGTTGACCCCACCAAAGTCTCTGGTTCAGGTATATCATAAAAGTTGAAAGATGGAAAACAACTTAGACTAATCACTTTAATTAATAAATCACATCGTAACCAGCGATATATCATGTTTTTGTTACATATTTCATATCGAATATTTACTTTCATTCATCTATATTTTGATTAGAACTAAAGCAAGCATTTCATCACAGGAAGATTAGCTGAAATCGAAATAAATTATTAATATTATTTCTAACGAGTAAATCCAGGTATGAATTCAACTTATAAAACCGTATGCTTCAAAAGATGACTTAGTGAAGAAAGAACACGCTCATATAATAAGATTTAAAACACTTGTTATAGGTGCTCATCACTTTCACCGACTAATGGATTAGCAATCTGTTTTTGCCTTCAAGAATTTAGAAAAAAAACGAATAAATTTTCACTGAGTAGCAAATCACAATTTCTACGCTTTTTCAACATGTTCTACACGAAATATTTCCATGATTCATCATCAATAATCAACTGTGAACAAAATGACTACAGCAATGGCATGCTAAAAAGATTGGATTCATGTCGGGCTTCGTACCACACTAATCATTTAACTCAAAATGCTTCATTTATTTTCGATAATAAATAATCTTTATGGTAATGGATGTCTTTTTTCACTATAATGGCATCGAACAAGTTCAATTTGAATTGATAACACCATACTAAATCTATGGACGATTGATGAATCTATTATAAAATTATTCAATAAGCCAATATCTATTTTTCTCCCTAAAATGCTGACAGACAATGTCACGCACATATTTTCCAATTATCATTCAATATTACTAACTAACAAAACACTAGAATCTTTTTTTATCAATTCATGATAATGTGCTATCGATAATACAAATATGTTTACGTCATTGCGCGACCTTCTATGATGAGCATAGACTTTGTTTTAAATGTCGAAGAGCACCATTATGCTCAACGTCACTTTCATGCCTTTCTGCATGATTAAAAAAGATTGAATAATTAAATATCAACAGTAGCGTCTCATGCCTCTATAAATAAATAAATCGATGAGAAAAGATTTTTTCGCCTTTCTATGTTCAGGATTTAATTCAATAGAATCATATGCAGACTGACAGAGCGTAAGTTTTCTATTTTTTTTATGCCGAAAATTGAGGCCTATTTTTACCATTCACTAAAGCTAGTGGGATAATTATATGTCACAAAGTCAAACACATTAAAACATACTTAGTCGACTTCTTAATAGCAAGAGCAGGAGCCCAACCAGACTTTTTTGTTCCTGGCGGGACCACAAAGAAGGAGAGGGAAGAATTCGATTCCCACGATTCTCCCTTTGAGTTCATCACTGTCCAAGACTATGATTCACACCTTTTCTGCAACGTTAAAAGAAATGACTGTCAGTTGATTAAACCATATAAAAGTATTTTTACTTGATGCCTCAATGAAAGATTCTACGTGTAAAGATTTAACGAGAAAAATGTTTTATTGTGTGAAACAGTTTTTAAAATTGGGAAATAGTACTTAGGGATAATAATCTTTGAATGTTTCATACTCGTACTTCAAACGATTGAAGTTTTTCATAAGAGAACACTTCCAGAGTGACTACGTAACATAAACAAAAGAACGTCATAATATTCAAAAACAAAACACCTTTGTTCAAGGGCCAGTCTGACAGAAAAAAAACAGGAGCTGTATCATAATTACTTTCAGATAGATTCGTTATTCGGATTGATGATGCTTGAATGTCGTCTCTTTCAATTACTTGATTCACTTACCTATATACCATTTGTTCTCATCTGTAATGTTGTATTTGGTCTGGCATCTATATTTATTCAGATTTGTCTTTAGATCAATGGACTTATTTCTCTACAACGATCCCTTCATTCATGTGAACATTATCGTCTCTTGAATAAAATTCGTTCACGTGCAACTGCATCAAAGCAACTACTGATTATAATTGTCTGCGTATTTTTTATGCATATTCATGAATTGATCTGTCGTGTCACATTACCTGATCCAGTGGCGTAAGAAAAGTTCGTTTGCCAAATCAAACATTCAACAGACCTTTTAACATTAAATACAGTTTTCATATGTCTTCATTTATTTGTACCATTTTCATTGAATATCTTGGCTAATTGTTTGATTCTGACATCGATCAACCGTCGACGAACTAATCTTCGTCATACAACTTATTGGTCTCAATAACAGAAACAATTCCGATGTCACGGTCATCTATTTATTGCACCAACATTGGCTTTGGTATTGTTTCGCTTTTCAAATCTCTTTTTTCTTCCAACACTAACATGTTTTTCTCTCTGTTTTTTAGATCTGCACTCTACCACAACTAGTGCTTTCATTGACGTTTTTCTGTGATACTTCGGCTAATTTAATTACTTCTATACCTCAAGCTGCAACATTCTTTGTATTCATTTGTTCATCTGATGTTTACTTCAAAGTATTTAACATGACTTTCTGTGTGGGAGAACGTTTGTGGCACATCTATCAGGAAATCCTGATCGATCAAATATGACACTGGCTCAGAGAATGAAAACGAACGCAGATAAAAGGACTGAAAATTGCAATAATGTGCAACAAGAATACCTACTTTTCTTTTTGAAAATAAAAGTCATTTAACTCGTACATATTCATTTTTATTATAATCATAAATAAAACGCAAGACAAGATTCAACATATATATGTCACCTAGAGTCAAGCTCTTTCGAGAATTCTGATATTTTTCTGTCGTACGCCTTCGTAATAATTATTTTAGCAGCTTGATATTTTCTACGATGTTATAGTTCACCAGTACAGGATAAAAGTATAGCTGCGAAACATTTCGTGCATTAAATTTATTAGGGTATTAAATGGATCTTTAATCTTATAAACAGCGAAACAAAAATTATTTCTCTCTACAAGCGACACAATCAATATTACCTTTATTTAACAGCTACTGACATCATTTCGTACAGATAAGGTTCGTTTTTTTTTCTATATGGCTTAGTCATTCTTTAAATATGCAACTTAAATGGGGTATTGTTGGAACTGGTCGCATTTGCCAAGATTTTTGTCTTGCATTATTAACTTGCGATCCTCATGAACATGTTATTGTTGCTGCAAGTTCTCGAGATAAAACACAGGCCGACAATTTTGTTCGAGATTTTGAACTTGGAGATCAAGTCCGTACATATGGCTCACAAGAAGAATTGTTTAACGATGCAAACGTTGATATTGTTTATATTGGAACCATAGAACAAGTTCATCGAGATTTATGTATCAAAGCTTTAACTAATAATAAACATGTTTTATGTGAAAAACCATTAGCAATGAACGAAGCTGAAGTTCAAGACATTGTTGATACTGCAAGAAAAACAAAGAAATTCATGATGGAAGCCATATGGTCGCGGTTTTTTCCTATTTATGATAATTTACGTGATGCCGTGAAACAAATTGGAACAGTAAATTTTCAGCAAAAGTTTTTAACTAATTTTTTATCTTTGCTTTTGAAAGGTAACTTATGTTGAATGTACTTTTTGTGTTACTGGTTTAGTTTCTTTTGGTATTTGGAGTTTATTAATGGCCATTGGTTGTTATCCTGTGCAGGCAGCTTTAATCGCTTTTGATCACGAAGAACCAGTATCCATTGTAGCATCAGGTCATACAAGAGAACATCAAGGTGAAAAAACAGATAGCATGGCTACAATAACATTACTATTTAAAAATAATCGAATGGCTGTTTTGAATTGTCTTGGTCAAGATATTGGTGCAATTAATTCATTAACAATTCACGGAACAGAAGGTAAGAATAATATTTTAACTGACTAACAAATTAAACTTTTATTATTTAACTTCAGGTGTTATTAGTCTTCCGACTCATTTCTGGTGTCCAACTCAAATTGTTCTACCTAATGGTCATCATATTGATCATGATCTACCTGAGACGCTTAAAAAAACAAATTATACCCACTCGGCTGGCCTTCGTTATGAAGCTATGGCATGTCGTGATCAAATTATGAATGGAAAATCGGAACATCCGTTTATGACACTTGAAAATTCACTGCAAATAGCTCGAATTATTGAACAAGCTCGAAAACAAATTCTCTCAGCCAAGCATTAATTGTTTCATTTCAATTATAAAAGCTCGATCGGGATTTGTTTTTCAATAAAGAAATTTCAAGCGCATCTGACTTGTGCAGACACATAAGTTTTTATTTGTATATTCTAAAAAAAGAAGGGAATGGTGAAAGAATATATACACACACACATATAAGAGAAACAACCGAGAAATGAACACATCATTCATGTGTCTTTTCCTATATAGTTATCTAGATTTTAGAGTGAGAGAGAAAAAATATATAGATGTATCTGATATTCTATAGTTGATAGAGTACTTTATTTCCTGCTGTACTTTTCTTCTTGTTCATCACACTAGTTGCTGTACTTGTTTCTTGATTATGAAGCTAAAAAAATAAAATAAAAATATACGATTTCGAATCATGTTTTCTGCTTACCTCAAATAGAATATGAATTTGTCGTGGAATGTTAATTAATTCACGCATACGTCGACTATGAAGGAAAACAAAAGCAGTCGTATGAAGTTTAAATTTCAATTTTTTTAATTCTATACCCAATACGATAGATCAGTTGTTGATCATGATGAACCGATGTCCAAAGTGCAATACGATCACAACTTTTACGCGCCGATAAAACAACTCCATTGACATAATTTGTATCTTGTGCATATTGGCCACCGATAAGAGCTAACATCTATATTGAACACAACATGTTCTAGATAAATGGTATACATCTATCGATAACTTACTGATGCAAGCCAACAAACATCAAGATTAAGATAGACTTGTTCTGATTTCGAGAAATAAAGAACCCAACGACCACCACTTGTATTATGAGAATCTTCCCAACAGGGTAAAATAGGACTTTTAAATAACATATAATCACAACTTGGTGGTAAACGTGAAGCAACACGAAGATGATTGAAGAGACTAAGCAAAAAAAATCATCCATATCTACTCGGTTACGAATGCTTTTACTTACGCCCAAAATTCTTCAACATAACCAAATGTAGCTAATTTCATTAAATTATCTTGCCAATCTTTTCCTTGTTGATTTTTCAAATACCAAAATGACCATTGACTTTCAAGAGGATGTATAAGTTCAATTTGCTTATTCATTAAAATAAGTGGCGTCGACAAATCATTGGAATCTGTTGACGATGTCGATAATAGAGAGTTTTCTTTTTGATCGTCACTATTGGAAAGTTTTTTCTCAAGTAAATTTTGTATCGCTGTTGACTTTGTTTGTCCTCCATCGTTTGTAGTTTGATCAGCTAGAAACATAAATAATACACATCTCACACGTAAAAGTTACTCCAATCTCCTGTGACCATAATAACAAGCAAATACGTACAATTAACATTTAATTTCTCGATTTGTTCATTGATTTGCTGGCAATCATTATTAACGATTGTTGTACTTGATTCAGTAAGAATATTTGCCATTTTTTTTGTTTTTGAAAATAAAATATAACTATGCAAAACGTCCGACGTATATATGTGTGTGTACAAAAATGAAAGTGGAAGTTTTGAACGTCTATGATTCATTAACTGTTCATAGCGCGCACCTTTGTTCGATCGAACAAAAAAAAAGCGCTTTCTATAAAATTACTTAATTAATAAAAAAAAATTAAGTTTTTCATAAGCAAAATTTTAATTAATCTCATTAAATTTTAAATTATTTTAAATTAACACCGACTCAAATCAAAGTGCATTAATGCATTAATAAAATTCTATCGAAACCTTTTCTCATTGGTTAGTTTTCATTTGACCTTAAAAACTTTATTTTTATTTTTTATTTTTCAAATGTTTCGTTTTTATTTTAATTGTCATCGTTGGAAACCAACACGTGATCAATGGATCTATGCAAATCGTTGTTTGCCAATCGACGAATTGAAACGCATAGATGAATATGTACTTCAACGTGATGTAAAATTTACCCTTGTTGGCCAATTACTAATTCGTTTTCTTTTGAGTCGAGTATTCAATGAGAATATTACGTCATTTGATATCAAACGCTCGAAAGATAATCGTCCATTTATTGAATCAAAACCATCGTTTGATTTCAATGTTTCACATCATAATAGATTAGTATGCATTGCTGGTACATTCGATGGACAAATTGGTTGTGATACAATGATTTATCAAGGAGAACATATTAAAAAATTAAATTATAATTTAATTCGAAAAAAATTTACATTAAATGAATACGATTGTATCATGAAAAATCCATCAAATTTTTATCGGTTATGGTGTTTAAAAGAAAGTTATGTTAAATGGTTAGGTATTGGCGTTGGTTTTCAATTATTAAGATTAAATTTTCATATTAAAACAAATGAATTCAATAGAGCGAAAGCAATTATATCGGATACAAGATTAGAAATAGACAATAAATTAATAAGTAATAATCTTCGTTTTGATGAACAAATTATATTTTTATCAGATAATGAACAACAAATAATAACTTTATGTTTATCAACGAATAATCATTGCCAATCATTTGTTGAATTAACTATTGATGATATTCTTCGTGGTTGTACATCATTTCATAGGAATAAAGAAGATGATTTGATATCCTGGGAGAGATTTCAAATGAAAAGACAAACAGATATAATTTAATACTCAGATTTATAGATATTATGAAGTAAGTGGAGAGTAGAAAGAATCATACGACGATGTTGCTGATATTAAAAAAAAACAAGTCAGATGTTTATTCTAGTCTCGCAAATAAAAAAAGACAGTTTTTTCTTAGGAATGTTGAAGGTATTCTATCAGAATCTTGTTTTTGTTGTGAATGCTTTTGGGTGCGTTTTTCTGTTGCTTAGTTGCCATAGAAACATATTTAAACATTGTTGGCTCTATGCTCTTTTCCTAAAACGTTTCATCTATACATAATATGCAGTAAACTTTTTTCGATTAGAGTACCTTCTTATACTCGACTATTTCTCATCCAATGAGTAGCGCTAAAGTGTGTGTGTGTGTGTGTGTGTGTGCTTTGCGTTCTTATAAATCATCATGGCGCACCTATCAATAGAAGAAGGTTTAACCATTCATAAATAAACGACCCTAGCAATTGTGCCGTCTGAAACATTTTGATTGCCTTGATATTCATAGCTAGTTATATAAAATTGTGTCAGTATGTGCTGATTTATCTCTAATTAAAAACGTTGAATTTGTTAATTGTTGCAAAGAAGAAAGAGAATTACAATTCAAAATCACAAAATATTTGGCAAGCCCCAATGCTTTACTCTAGTGAGAATTTAAGTTGTACCTAATAATAGATGAATTACGGTGCATATTTACCGAGATATCAACCAACGATTCAATCTCATTAGGCAGATTTCGATGGCACTTTGTTTTCATCGCTTAAAAAAGATTGATATTAACAGCAGAAAAATGATGTGCTGCGATTCATTAGGAGATGAATATGATAATTATTATTTAAACATGATGTTCGCATAAATTTTCTCATCTAACGATACAATAAGCCAAATATTTTCTACAGCAACATCGTGAATGTGCATTGTGTACCAATGAAAGCTTGTCTCTCATCGCTACTGTTAGTTTTTTTTTTGTCATGCATGACTCTCAGTTTCAATCAACAAATCATATGGGCATTTATTTTATTTTATTGAGTGCAGAATTTTTAACGAAACATTTTCTTTTCAGACTTTGGTTTCTTTTGCATTTATGAACTTTATTCTGATATAAATGATTCTAAAATTATGCGTATGGATTTTCAACAAGTATTTATCAAAAAAAAAAAGATTTCGCGCTTTTTTCTTCTATGTATTTTTGCTGCCTATCGACTACGATATTGATTAATTTATAACAAAAATAAAAAAATAAAAGTTTTCTGTTTTATTAATATTCTAAAAAAGAAATGAACAGAAGATTGAACTATAAAACAAATGCAAATGCAATGATATTTTTCTTCTTTCAGAACAGTGATTGGTTTTTTGCTAAAACTAAAAGGTATTCTTTTCATGGTGCTATTCATCATTGTTTACTAAGCAAATAAAGAGAGAAAATACAGAGTCATGACTACTGGCCCATCTTCAAATATTATTATTCGTTTACAAAACTTACCGAATGAGGCACGAGCTGTTGATATTGTAAGTTCAGATTGTGTTTATTTTTGTTTTTTGTTCATCGGAATCAACAAAAATCTAACTAATGAGAGAAATGATTTTTTTCTAGCGACGATTCTTTACTGGTTTGAATATTCCCGATGGCGGTGTTCATGTTGGTGAGAAAATTTCCTATAGAAAGTCGTTCGACATCATTGTTTGTGTTTATTTCAGTCGGTGGTGAAAAAGGTGATGCGTTTATTAACTTTAGTTCCGATGATGATGCCCGACAAGCTATGATGAAATCGGGCAATATTTATGGAAATCCAATTAAGCTATTTCTAAGTAGTCGATCAGAAATGCAATCGGTCATTGCTCAAGTTCGTGCTGGTCCATCAACAAAGCCAGTAGCTAACGTTGTTGAACCAAGTTATCCATCGAATGTTGCTGAACAACAAGAACCAAATAGTTCTAGTGTTCCAAAATTACCATCAGCAAATACAATATCATCGATCCTTGCAGAATTTCAAGCAAAAGCCATTCAGCAACAACAGCAACAACAACAGCAGCAGCAATTGCAGATGCAACAACAAACACCAGCAATTGATCCAACAAATGCTTTATTAATGGCTGTAGCACAAAATGGAAATAATCCATTAGCACTTCAACAATTATTAGCTACATTATCTGAAAAACAACAACAGTCAGCTGTTGGACAACAATTTCCATTTCAAATGCCACTTATTTCAAATTCAAATAATCACTATGCACAACCAACCAACGGATGGATGGGACAACAAGTAAGAATTTTGTCCGATCTGTCATTAGAATTTTGTGATTGCCTTTATTTAGTTTCCAAATACTGTTCAATCACACCGTGCAGCTGCTCTCTTTCTTCAACAGCAACAACATCAACAACAACAACAACAACAAGCATTATTTCAAAATTATGGCCAAGAAAATAATGCCTATCAAACGACTATAACTGCTGATGATCCTTATATTCGTGTTCGTAATATTCCAGTCGGTTATAATTATTATAACATAAAACTTTTATTTTCCAAATATAAATTAAATCTTTCTGATATGAAAATTATCAATGATCAAAATGGTCAACGAACAGGTGAAATTGTACTTCGTTTACATACCAATAAAGATGTAGCTGATCTATTATCACAAGATGGTCGTATTCAATGTTTTAATTCAATGTTAGATATAAAAAAGATAGACGAATATACATTTGCATCAGCTATAGATTCGTATATTCCAGCTCATATTAAAAAGACTCCCGGTGCAACAATAAAAAATTGTATGCGTGTTACTGGGCTACCGAAAAATTATGAACGTAAAGATGTTAAACGGTTTTTTGCTGGTTGTAATGTCACGGGTCGTCCAGGTGGCATTTTTATCGAAGCTGATACAGCTAATGGACCGACGTTTGTGGAATTTGAAACGGAAATCGATGCTGACAAAGCATTTTTTTACAATGGAGAAAAAATTGGTAAATGTTTTTTTTCTTGTTCTGTAGAATTTTTTTTCTAATTAACCTAAAAGTTTTTCTTGCTGAAGGTTTATCAACCATTGAAATGTATCGTATGACAAAATCTGACATGGAAAACGAAATAAATTCGTTGAAACGTGGCCCGGAACGTGTTCCACGTCGGCCACCATTGCTACATCATGAGCCAACAATGGGAAATATTCGCCCTGAAAAGAATCCACATTTATTACCAACGCCAACATCATTTCATGGACATTTAGCATCGCCTATTCAAAATTCAACATTTCCAATGGCAACAAATCAAAATCAAGATCAATCAGCTGTTTGTCTTCGTTTAAGAAATATTCCTTATTCAACAACGGAACAACAAATCTATGAATATTTTGCTGATCGATCAATACAAATTGATAGCTGTAAAATTCTCCTCGATCGTTTTAATCGTGGTGCTGGTGAAGCATTAGTTTGTTTTCATGATGTTCAATCATGTCAAATAGCTTACGAATCAAAAAATCGACAAATTTTCTACGGGCGTACATTAGATTTACGACGCATATCCTTCTTTGAATATCAAAATGCATCGTTGACACCTATGTTAACAGCTAATGATTTAGTGTCACCTGCAAATATCAATCAACGTTTTCAACAAGTAAATGCGAAACGTCATCCACCGTTTTATGAACGAGACGATGATAGACGCAACGATAAACGACCCAAATGGGATGGTAATCATAATGATAAAGGTAATGTGTCTCATTGTTTCAACGGAGTATTGTATAACTAAACTTTTTATTTTTAGAACCCTATGGATTTAATCGAAATTCACCGCGAATCAATAAAGACGAGCAAGGACATGATATAAAATTATCTGACGAGAAAAAAATGCCCAATGATCGACGTTCATCAACACCACCGATTGCTGCCCCATCAACAAATCTGCCACCATTACCAACTGAATTAAATGATTATATTGGTCGTATATTATTATTATCGAACGTTCCTTATCGTGCAACACGTGAAGAAATTCTTGATTTTCTTCGTCCATATTTGCCAGTACCTGATACACTTAAAATACGCTGTGATGTTAATGGTAAACCAACAGGTTTCGGCGTTGTGGCATGTGAAACCACAAACGAAGCCTCACGTGCTGTTACTGAACTTAACAATCAAATGTTTATGTCCCGAAAAATTTTCCTTCAACAAAGATAAATACGTTACTGTTACACTTTCGTTTTTTGCTTTTTTTGTTTTATTTTACAACGACAACATGTGTGTGTATAGAACAGTAAAGTTGTAGGTCGGGTTATCCGTCCATATGTTGTACGGCGCTTTCAGGAGGAATCAAGAAAAGAAAAACAAATAAGTTAATTCCAGAGAAAAAAAATTGATACTTTTAATTGTGCTTTTCTTTCTTTTTTTCTATGTTAATTTATTTCATCATGAAAAACAAATAGAGATCAACTTTACAGTTTCCTGTTTTGTTTTCGTTTCAGTTGTTTTGTGCTAACGCACAAGTTCATATTGTGTGTCCTGTGTGCTTCTTTCTCTTTTTTGTTCTTTCATTTTTTTTTGTTCTTCGTGTTTTGTGTGCGCGAATAGGAACAATAATAAAAGCAGAGTTTGTGTGATAAGAAAAAAAACCTGATTACACTCGATGAAATGAAGTTTTCATTATTGACTCTATGCCTGATTTGAATATTATATAATCCTTGGTCATCGATAATCAATAAACATTGATCTTGATTATATATATATCACTTACAGTCAATATTTTCTTGCATATATTTAGTCAAGAGTAAAAAAATCGTTTATGGATCCTGTCACAAGTGAATATATGATTTATTTATTTCGAAAGTAAATAACCTTGACAGTACAAGTATTTACCGATTAAGTCCTTTTTTTGTTTCAAAAAGCATGCATATATTAATACAATTTGCTTAGAGACTGTCCGTTAGTAAGAAAAAACAGAAATATAATATACATATATATATATAATCACTATTTTATTAAAGAAATCATGTCTCAATAATTGTATACGGTACTTGATGTGTTTGCACTCAAAAAAAAAGAATCGAATGATTCACAGAGGTTCCCTAAGGTAGAGCGAATATTTTAGTTTGTTATTCACTATAATTGTATATAATCACAAATAATAAAAAGAAACAGTATACAAAAAAAATGTAAAAAGACGAGGCAAGCTCAATGAACAAAAATTGCGAGATTTCAAGAATCGATGCTCATCACAGATGTGCAGATAGAAAAATGAATATTCTGTAATTCCAACATTCTCATGCATGACAAAAAATGAAACACGATAAGATCAAACTTCTTGAGAATGCTCAAGAATTTCAGAGTAACGATCTTTTTTTGAATGTTTCGCGTGAGCCTTTGGTTTTTGTGTTGTGGCTGCTGTATGATGATTATGCTTTCTTGCTCTATGAGAACTAGTTGGTTTTGTCGTTTTTGCTATTGGCTGAGAAGATGAATGAGTTCGTTTGTGTTCTTTCGATGATGAACGAATTTCAGTTTTTACTTTTCGTGGTCGTTTAGGAGAAACAGAAGTTCGGTTCTTTTTAGAAGATGCTTGACTGGCATCCGTAGCTACGTCGACGTCACTTTCTTCTGTTGCTGCTACTGGAGATGATTGTCTTGAATGAGTTTTAGCAGGTTTCTGATTGGACGTTGTATGTGTAGTAGACGATGGTCGATGCGATGTAGATTTACCATTGGGTACTGACTTTTCTACATCTGCGTGATTTGTTTTGGTTGGTTTTGGTTTTGGTTTTTGAGTTAATGCTATTTCTTCTTCGTGATCTTCTTCGAGTCTTGTGCGTGATTTTCTTTTAGAAGGTTTAACAATTTGACGTTCTTGATCATCATCATTATCATCATCATTATCATCATCATCATCATCATCATCATCACTTGAAATTTTCTTCGACCGAGATGTTCGTTTCGTAGTACTTATATATTGAGGTTCGTCTTCATCGTCATCATCACTTTGCACTTTTTTCGTTGATGATATTGGCTTTTTACTAGTCTTGCCTTTCGGTAGATCTTCTGCGTCTTCATCGCTTTGAGCAAGTTTTCTAGTTCGATCTGGCTTATGTTTGATAATATGTTCTTCTTCATCGTCATCCTCTTCGCTTGGTTCTGGCGTTTTGGCTCGTTTAGGTTTCACATGTTTTTTATCAACTTTTTTAAATACTCCATCATCCTCGTCGTCATCCGGTTCAATTTTTGGTGTTGGTTCAATTTTTTTCACTGCTTTTCCTTTGGCATGTTTTTTCTTGTTTTTCGCTTTTCGATCATCATCATCTTCTTCATCTTGATCTGATGGTTCACGTGCTTTTTTCATAAGATCCAGAACAGCTGGATCTTTTGTAAACAACGCATCATCGTCAGGAATTGTTTTAAATATTGGAAATTGTTTACATGTTCCATAATAAAATAATTTACTTATAAAACTCCATGAATCTCGTTCGAAAATATAAAATGCTAAACATTCAAATATAATATTTGTTATACGTAATATAAAACATATTTTTAATATCAATGAAAATGTATCTTTCGTTGAATCAATACGCGTTAATATACTATTAAACATTGATACAAAATAGAATGGAAATGAAAAAAATAGATTCAATAAGAGAAATATTGTTACTAATGTTGTTGTACGACGATCACCTTGTTTTTGACGATCTTTACGTTTCGTTTTACAACAAAAAGGTGTTAATAAATTAAAGCCAATCGAAATAATTATCGGTTTTACAATTAATATAATGAATAAAACAATAATCAACGTTTTAAATACAGATGACAAACGACCATCAACTGAACAATGATGACGACGCGAAGCTAGTCGACCTAAAACATCACCGACAATTGGCGGAGCAAGGTTCATTGCTTGATCTTTAAAAAAATTGAAAGTAAATTGTTTTTTTATAAACATAAATGTCGTAAGCAATGCGAGAAGTACGAGCCATGTAACACATAGAATAACTTGTATTAGATAAGGTTTCGTGAAAATTTTCGCCCATGTCATTGAGAGATTAAAATGACTTTGTAAACGTTCAAGCGAGAGAAAAAGTAGAGCAAATTGCATGATTGGAATTGTTACATACATGCCTAGAAATAGAGACGTAAAATTTGATACTAGTGTAGTATTTTACATAAAAGTCATGATCTCCTCGGAATGTGTACCGCAAAATAAATTTTTCTCTTAACCTATAGCCTGCAGAGCCTCTGCTGGAGTCGGCTGGTCTGATTTTGATCAACAGATATGACAAGAAAAACGACACACGATGATTCATGTCTCACTGCTCTGATAGCTATTTATTATGATAAATAGCAGTCAAGTTCTTCACTGAAGGTTATAATAATAATATATCTCTATATGATGATAGATATCGCAGAGCTTTTGACACTTATTATTAACAAGAAGATGTTAGAAAGTGCCAGTCATATAGCATATAAAGTGTGTCCTTTTCAAGCAGCGAAAACAATCAGTCCAACAGAGCGAATCATAGTCTCAATCTGTTTGTAATATATAAAAATACATTCTTCACATAAATATAATTTTTCAAGTTAAATATTCGATTTGATTCAGTTCTATTTCGAATCATACTCACGTCTACGTGAGCCCTAGATTTGAATATTTTCATTGATAACAGACCGTGTTTCTCGAAAAATTAGTTACTGTATTGCATTTTAATTCAAATTTTTCTGTAAAAATATAAAAAAGGCATAAAAACTCATTTTTTCACTATTAGATACAGACAAAGCATTTAAACAAATGAATCATTTGACATGAAAAATACTCGTTAAGGCATTTCAATGAATCATACGGACACATTATTTATAATTTGTGTATTCTATTTTATGCAGTAAACAAAAACATCGAATACAATCATCTATTTCGTCGTTGAGACCTTAGATGTTTTAGTCACGAACTCTTAATCCTTCGAAGCTAACTAAACAACTAAAACAAACAACAAAATATACAAACCATAATTTGCCACATCACAAAGAGACGGTCCCAAACGAAAATCTTGTGCCACATTAATCATTGCTAATAAAATATATATAAGATAAAAAACTTCACAAAGAAACACATGAAAAAAAATCATATTGGTACTGGATTTGCTTTGTTTCTGCTTTTTCGAAGGTAAAAATATAACAATTATTGTTGGTATTATACATAATATGGCAACGGCCCATAGACATATAAGTGCAGTTTGTAAATAAACTTCATTCTCAGTTTCGGGACTAAACAATGAATCATAAAAACCTTTTGGATAAGTTTTATTGTCATGTAGATCTAGTTTATCATCGATTTTATGCTTAATTTTTTCTTTAATTTCTCCGTAGTGAGTTTTATTTTTAAAGGCATCTTTGATTTCGTGCAGATGTTGTCGAAAACCATGACGAGAGACATGATGATTTGCATCGGTTGAAGTAAAATTTTCATGAATATATGTTGCAATATGATGTTTATTAACTTTGTCTCTAACTTTTTCTTTTACACGTTCTTTGAAACGTGATAATTTATCACGAAAACGAAACGATGGTCGATGAGGTTCAGAATCGTCTGACATGAAATATGAATAGTAGAATATTAATCTAGAAGAAAACGCAGATAAAAATAACAAGTGAGCTCTTAGAAGAAGAAAAAAAAAGATCTTCTCGGCATAGCAAACACTAATTTCATTGTCGAATTCAAGGTTATAACCTGAAGTAAAAAAGATCATAAAATCTCAACATGACATCGGTTATATAACAGAAGATAATGTATGCATAGTTATGTTGATATGAGAGCAGGAAAAAAAGAATAATTGTTCGATTCATGACATATTTCTTTTTCATGTCGATAGAATTTTTTCTTCGTTAATTCGTTTTCGTCTAATTTTGAGAGAAGTATTTTTAAGAAGGACGAAAAAAAAACATCAGATTGATGATTATTAAATTGTGAATATACTTAAGTGTCAAAGAATACTTCATTCAGGGTTGCCTTATCCATCAACATCTCATGGCGGCCACTTTTCTCTTGCGTTCTATCATGATGGCCAATCTTTTTCATTTTTTTACTAAAAATAATATCATATTGTACAGACGACGCATCGTATGGAAGAAGAAAATAGGTTTTGATATTCGCGCATACTAATCAATGATGTTGTCTTCCGAGGCTGTGTACGCTATAAAAAGAAACGTGCTATGCGCTGTGATATTCAATATCTAATGATGGAATGATTTCTTATTGATTACAAATTAGTGAATTTGTAATTTGTTTTACCTATAGGCTCGATAAAATTTAATATCTATGGATAAAAATAGCAAATACAAAGATGTTGGTCTATCGTACCGCTGTTAATATAACGTTTCTTTCATATACTCTATACGATATTTGTTTTTTTAATAGAAGATCAGTGTAACATCTTATTTATAACGGACAAAACGTACGAACAATAAAATGAATGATTAAAAAAGGATCATTTTTCTTGTCTCTGTATGCTTAGTTGAAATGAAAAGAACAAACTATTTAAGTAAATCATCGCGTAACTTCTTCGAAGTAATGTGTGTCAGCTCGAAATCTGTGTACAACTGATGCCTTTAGATATACAAATAATGATGATTTTTATCCCACCCCTATTTTTTTCCAGATCTTGACACTAAGAGTTTGAGAATCTATCTCCGACAAAATAAATGGTACGAATCTAATTGCATAGATCGTATTTGATAAACGAGCACGTCTACTAGTGACAGAAAGCAGCCAATAGATCTGTCTGTTATGATTAACTTTTTTCTCTCTTTCTCTAAATACTACAAGGACAACCGATAAGTAAGTTTAATCTACGTCGTTCGTTTTCTTTGCCGCTATATTAAAATAACGATACAGTAACTAATTCCTCACCTTGTTTTTCGTAGCCATAAATAAAAACGGCAATGATCTTATGAGTGAAAGAGACTAACTCACTCGCGTGCAAGATCATACTTTATGCGTAGTGGTAGCGTACTACTACTATCACATAGCATCGCTCGTTGCCTTCAACAAAACAACCAAGTAAAAAAAGGAGAAAGAAAGAGAAAAGAAAAAAAAAGGTTTTTTTTTGTTCCTACCAGTTATCCTTGACATAACGAGAACACATGCAGCACATGGAAGATCGATTGCTGAAAATATGTACATGCATATATATAGAAAACATTACGAGCGAAAAGTCTACCATCGAAATGAGTACATATGCCTTGACTGTTTTTCATTTTTGTTGCCTTTCTGAAAGAGAAATATCAACTATTACCAATTTTGCAATCTTTCACGCATCCTTGACAAAGAACAAAACAGCCGAAACGGGCATAAATAGATAAGCACAATAATCCAATTAATTGTTCAAGGTTCTTTCATTTGTTCACTTTAAAAAACTACTTAAAGTTCGTATTCTCGTAAGAAGAACAGGAACGAAAGGAATGAAAAGAACACATCACATTGAACGATTGCAATGGCCTCGGGACTCGAAATAACGACATCTATTTTAACAATTTTTTAACAGAAAATAGAATTAATTACTATGAGAAAAATACATATTTTATGTTGACAAAAATATTTAAATTTCGATAATTCTAAAAACAAATGCGGACATCAAGATTCAAAAGTGAGGTTGTTTCTAAACGACTGGCAATGCTGATGGCCAAGACATGTACACCTCTCATGAACAAGATGAAGGTCACAATGCAAATATTTTAGATAATTGATTGGAAATTTCTAACCTATTGAATTCATATCAATGATAACGTCAAATCGTCCGAAACTGCCTGTTAATGTAAAATGAACCGAAATTTCATTTTTATGTATTGTTTTAGCTTTTTGTTTCACAGATTTTGGATAAGCGTGTGCCAAAAAATCCAAAATATGAAAATGTTCAAGCAACCATCGATACAGGTTTACTTGATTGTTAGCGACATTCTTCATGAATATGCATGCATTGACTTTTTAGGAGATAGTATTACCAAATTTCTCAAACGAAATGAAGAATTGCGTGCATGTAAGTTTTGACTTGGTTTTAAATATTTTCTCAGTTAGAGTAAGGGACATTTAAAAATGAAGAATCTAGATAGTCGGACTGTTCTGCTCTTTAGAATGAACAAAAGTATTATTTATCTAAAGAGCTAGAAGCATGTATCTATGATTGAATATTGCTTCAACATTTCATAGTGTATTCATGCTATGACAGTTACTATAATTTGTTTCTCATTTAAGATGAGACACGAAGTTTAGATTATTTTTTGTCTGGCGCTTATAATTAAACTTTGGGCGCATAAAAGAGATATTAATAATATCAAGGATAGTACTGATCAATAGCTCATAAATAACTATGATAATCTGTCTGACAAGATAAATTTAACTTTTCGTAAGAGATATTTTTTGCGATAATTACAACTCAAAATAAGATATCAGAAATAATCGAACCCAATTTTCATATCACCGATGAGTGATTCAGGAGAGCTAGAAAAATCTTTTTCGAATTGTGACTTGAACACTTGCGCAGGCAAAGGCCTTGATGAGAACAGACTTTTGTCAATACTTCAGGCTGTTTAATAGTTGATTCTATTTTCTGTTACATTGAATACATTAATTGTTTTCAAGTTATTCATAACTCGAAGAAAGTTTTTTCGTTCATATCCTATGGAAATGGAAATTATGATGAGCTTATAATTGAATAAAAATGTTCCATGAAATAAATTTCCTCCTACTTTTTGTTTACAAGAGCGTGATTTTTCACTCGATATTTCAAACCCTATGCAAGAAGGAAGACACCACCTCATTGCCAGCCGGTGATCCGAAATAGGCGAAGTTCTAATTAAACAGTTATTATTCGTGTGTTAAGCCGACAAATGAAAATGCAGGTGTGAGTACTATGAACTATTCATTTAAACAAATATTGAATTTCGAATGTTGAAGTGCAAGAAATCGCACTGTTTTATGAAATTATTGAAAACGAAATCGGTCTTTTTCAACATTTGGATAAGTTATGAGCAATTTCTTATTTTGAATCATGTGACCAATAGAATTTCGACTGTCCTACAGTAACAGGCATGGACTCGAGATGGTTAGATAAGACTTTTTTATGCATGAAGAACGCACTTAACCTGAGCCATACCAAGCTTTTGTGAAAACCTATTGACTATTAATAATTCTAGACAAAATGGTGTATTTTTATTAATTTGTCCTTTGGCACGAATCGATAGTATGGATGCATCAGTACCAGCATTTCTAGTTTGCCAGGATCATCGATGTCAACACACACCAGTGTTGAGAGTTCCACTCACTAACACCTCCAATACTGGGGTGTGTTGACACCGATGACTCTGGCAAACTAGAAATACTGGTACCCAGACAACCAGTAATACTGGCACTGGTGCATCTCTAACCCATACCAAAAAGTACTCGAAAGAGCGAACAAGTTTTCTTCTCTTAGTGCTTCATTAGGAAAACTTAAATTGAGCATAGAATTTGCGTCTTTTAATTAAATAATTATTTTTATAATTGAAGCGAAGTATTAATTATATCTCTATAAAAGCAGAGGTTTTTCTTGAACTTCAAACACTCTGATAACAACTTATTGGCTTTGGGAAATATCATTTCAAATAATTAATTATCGAATTTAAAAGCTCATTGTTTCGAGAGACTATTGATTTTTTTCATTTGCACTTGTTTAATTGTTGGTGCATTTAAAATGAACTATTTACTAGTCTTTTCGACTGAATTTTTTCAATAAACTAATGATAAAAATGAATTACGCCATAAATGTCCTTTGGAAAATGTCCTTGACAAAATGTCCCCAGGTTTTGGTCCTTGGAAAAAACTTCCTTGAGATTTTGGTCCTTGAGAAAATGTCCTTTGAACTGAATGACCATTTCTGGTGGACATTTCCACTGAAGGACCAAAATCGAAGGACATTTCGTCAAGGACATTTTCTAAAGGACATTCTTGACTGTTACCATAAAAATGACGTCACGATACTTTATTTTTCTAGATTAATATGCTTATTCTCAGTATTTTTTCTAAAACCCACACTAGGATTAGCAGTACTCGCGACAGTCATCCATCGTATAGTGAAATTAACTCGATGGTATTCTAAGTTCTATGCAGGCGCGAACATGAAATAAGACCCATATGGATAATTGCAGTCATGAAAGCTTAAAATTTTAATTGTTTTATTTTCGGATCATCAACCGTATTAATGAGTCTTCTATTTTTTCTATTTACGAATCAACTCGATAAACTTACGTTAAAAATAAAGTGGTTACTTAAAATAAAACATCACGCCAGCAATTATCACGGCAACAAAAAAGACAGTATAGAAACTTAATTCCGAAAATGTAACAATATAAACATTCTCTTTTAATCTAAGATAACAATAATTACCGATGAATGATAACAGAGCGAAATTACTCAAGACTGCTAAAATAGCTCGAAGACAACTGAAAATGAAGAACATTTAGTTCATTCTATAAAGTAATTGATGACGACATATTGTAATAATAAATTACGCATTTCTCTGCTAATTATTTGAAGTTCGATCGAAAGTTTTGCTTTAAAAAAAAATAAAATGTACTTTTTCTAATGTTCGATTTAGCGAGTAAACAAGTAGCTGGTGAAATATTCAAACGCATGAAAATATCTACTCTTGTTCAATTGGTTCGTTGGAAAGAGTGTTTTTGTTTGTGTCTATAATCGAATAAATATTCCTTATTTAAGATCATTCAAGTAACCGAAATCAATACATTAGATACTCCAAGTAATGCTGAATTCGGTAAAGACTCTAATGAATAATTAGTTTTGAAAACTAAATTTATTTATTTAAATAGATCCAACAGCATCACAACAAACATTTTCGGATAGAGATCGGCCTCAAACACAAGATAGTCAGATAAGCCAAGCGACAACACGATCCACGTTACAGAGGTTTACAAATATTTTCTATGAAAAATAAGCAAGCAAACAAACAAATATCTATGCATTTTTAGTGTTATTCGTGGTGTGGGTGAAATGGATGTATATAATAGTTATCAAAATCGTTTTTCAACGACACCAGCAACGCCTAAAACTCCACTGAGCGAACAAGTTAATTTAGAAATGGATGAACGACCCTACTTAATTGTTGATCTTCGTGATAAAGATGAATTTCGGGCAAACCATATTGTTTCGGGTAATGAGTCTTGTCTTTATAATGAACAATAAAGCAATAATTAGATTAATTTTTTGTTCAAGCTCATCATTATCCAGCTGCTATGCTCTCCCGCTGTTCAAACAACGAATCTAGAGAATTGCTTATTTACGTAAGTTGAGGTCGCTTTGTTTTTTGATTAATTACTCTAAGATACTAACAGAGAAACAATCTCTTGTAAATATATTACTCACAAAACATAGATAAATATATAGATTTATAAATGCACATATAAATAATAAAGTCATTCAATTTTTCTATCAACGATGATAACGACGACAAGCAGATTTAGCACATGAACAATTGACTGGTATCATTAGTTGAATAGCAGTATGTGTAGAATCGGGACACACAAAAAATTCAGTTCGATGATCAGTTACTGTGCATGCTGTCGTACTATGTACAAATCTTTTTGAATGGAAACTCCAATGAGTACTACTCGAGCAATAACCCATACAGACTGGTAAAGTAATACGAGGTCGAATTTTGCATACGTTAAATACAATAGTACGATTTTCCAATTTACAGATATGATGACTATTTCCGTGCGCATAAGCCATTTTCAATTGAATATCAATAAATAAAATAAATAGTAGAGTGAAAATAATTGATGTCATCATGCTAGCAAATCTGAAGATAAAAGAATGACAGAAGTTATGCACCATATTCTATTTTGAGCTTCATTGCCGTGATGCTCTGAGGCAACAAGAAGGGAAACATTATTTTTCTTTTCATCCTTTTGTTTCTTAAATGTTTAGATAGAGAATTCTACTCCTGCGAATATTTTTTATGTGAACAATCTTTATATTTACATGTTTATCAAAACAAAGTCGAATAGATGTAGAAGAAAATAAGTCTGCCATATGACTAAAACGATCACTAATATAAACCGGAAAGATTCTAACTGAATAAATAGATATTTTTTTTTGTATCTCTACTGCCTATTAGCAAGCATTTGATCAATATTATATTATGTTACGTCTACATGAGAGATCCTTTTCTTTCTTTCTACTGAAAAACACTTATTGAATAATATTTTCGTTTTTCTTTTTTAAAATTAATTATATTTAATAATAGAAAAACCAAAAAGGCAAAATTATTATTTTATACGATGAAGACGAACGAATTGCTCCGAACGCTGCAACAATCATGGTCGAACGTGGTTATAACAATGTTTTCTTACTTTCCGGAGGTAAAAATTTCTAATCGCTCTGTGCATTGTTTTCGCTTCTCAAAATTCTGAAAAATATTGATAGAAACCTGTTAGTTCAACCATAAACTTAGTATTTTACAAAGCGCAGATGTTAATGAGTAGATCATTTTTAATTTAGAGAAAAGCACGTTTACAATATTATTTAGTGCACGACGTGTCTATTCGATATTAATAGAGGTATATGCAGGGGCGTAAGTCAGGTCTCAGAGCAGGGGGGGGGGGCGTAACTCTAATT